TTGCCCTGCCATTGGGGTAATATTCACAGAAATTATTGATATACTGAGGATTTGGGATTTTTCCCCTCTGTGGTCAGCTCCATTACTTGGGATTTTACCTTCACTTTAGTATTGTGCTATTCTTTCATTGCAGTTTGCAGGACTATGTAGGCAAAGACCATTGGGCCCACACCTGATATGAAGGCGCAGGTTGACAAATTAATTTCGTGTGCAAGCCAAGCCCTACAATTTTATTGCAGACATCATCTTGACAATGGTAGGTTCAAGTTGTAAGATCTGAGAGATCAATATATCTTTCAGATATATTGAAATCCTAGGGTGCTAAAATCATACTAATAGATTAATCAGTAGAAAATATTCAGATGCTGTTAAAAATCACCCCAGATTTCTTTTAAAATTAGAAACAAACAACTGACTCTTAAAATTTAGCTAATATTGGGAAGCAGAAAAATAATAATTTCTGCAAAAACTGTTCTCTAAGCAGCTTTATACTACTCATGTATCTATTAATCCATGAACAAAAAAGAAAGAAAGATTCTGAATACTTGAAGTGATAATCTGACTCCACCAAGGATTCTGGCAACACTTTGTCACTTGAAGAGGGCCAGAATTGCAGTCTTTGTGATTAGTAGAGGAGGATGAAAACCCTGTCTCTATAAAAAAAAATTAAAGTCTGAATTTACATTAAATATCTAGGTACAGTTTCCACCTGCACTGCATTTTGTACCTATCGAGGAACCTGTACCTCACAAAGATACAATCTAGTGTAATTTATTTTAATCAACAGTGCTATGCAGATTACTGTGCCTGACTCTCTTAGAGAAGTATTGACAAGGGGATTCCTTCAATTAACCCTTGGGCTTTCAAAACTATCTGATTGCTGTTTTGCATATGACACCTATTTTGCAGCTTCTTTGTGAGCACTGCTTGCTTTCAGTTGTATGACGTATAAAAGGAATTGTAAAAGACACACAAAAAACTCTCCAAACTTTTAAAATTATACTTATGTAGCATGGGAACTTTTAGGGATGTGGGTTTTTTTCCTTCAAGAACATCTTTGACAAGTAGGATTGTTTACGAATTTGAGTCCAGGCATTGACAGAGTAAGAAGCTTATTCTGCTTAGTCTCAGAGAAGACATAGTGTTGTGGAATGTGTTCTCACTGTGAAAGTGTTCTCACTGTGGAATGTGTTCTCACCATGAAAGTGTTGGATGGGGCTTTAAGCAACATGGTCTAGTGAAATACATCACTGCCCATGGCTGGGGAATTAAACTAGATGGTCTTTAAAAGGTCCTTTCCAACTCAAACCATTCTGTGTGACTCCGTAAGTATCTTTTGGGATCAGTCCCTGTCACATGTTATTCCTGAACCATCTTTGAATATAATCTGAAGTAGCAGCATTTCCTAGAAAGGAGCAATGCCTTCCCACTAGGGAAATCACTAGCAATTAAATAGTCTGTACTGTGGCATGCCAGTGCCTCAAGCCTGTGGCATGGCCTTGTTTTATTTTTTGACAAAATTCAAATGTATCAAAACCATAAATTGTCTTCAGCTTGTACAATAATTTAAGAGGACAGATTAGCAAGGCTCAGGGTGAAATTTCATACCAAAATTAGGGGGAAGAGGGATGTAGTTCAGCATCACATCAGTCACACAAAGCTTAAGGAAGGGATCCAGTTGTAGTACTCCTTATGTGTGAATCAGAGAGCAATTAGGATATTTAGGAGAGGGTACTTTAGCAAGGGGGAACTTGAAAGAGGAAACCTGAATCCAATTTTAGCCATCTCAAAGCTGCATGCAATAATGAGTAACCCTGTTGTTTAAGTAGAGACTAGTTGATATCTTTTTCTTAACCAGACAAGAATTTACTTTGGTAAAAAAGGAAATAAAATCTTCTGAAACCTGAGTTAGTTTCTGTTTCCAATTAAGATTTACCCTTGGGTCCTACGGTAACACCCCTGAGGGCATTTGCTCATTTGCCCTTCTGAACCACTCTTCCATCTGTGTTTTTCCTGCTCCATTTCTGTCTGTGTGCATGTACAGCACGCCATGTACAGTATGGTATGTGACACACATTAATACATATAGATAGCCTTCTGCTTCTGACCTTACAAACTGTCCACTTCAGCATTGTCATTCTATGAAATGTCCAACTGTAGTCCAAGAAATGCATTTTAAATGTGAATGCAAACATTTCTATTACTGATAACACCAACACAGCATTTTTTGCCTTGCTGGGATTAGGACCTTGATAGTTAAAGTTACATTGGAGTAATGACAGTCCAAGGTTGCATCCTTTACAGACATGGCAGAGGAAGGGGAGGCCTTTGATATGTCTCTGCTGATAAAATTAAGAATGATTATTTCTTGTGTTTGGTGAGATTATATTAAAAGTGAAAGAATATATTTGTTACCCATAAATATATATTAGGTCACAAAAACTGGGAGATATTTATGTGTTGCACTGCACTGCAGTTGTATTTCATTCATGCTGAAAGTCTGATTCTAGAAAACAATCTGAAATCTGATAATGATGTAAATAAATGCCTCTCTCCTCAGTGAATAGCCATCTTCTCACATGAACAGGAAAGCAGTCACCATTCCGATAGGGGGAAAAATAAAATAAATAAAATAAAATAATAAAATACAATAAAATAAAATAAAATAAAATAAAATAAATAATAAAAGCATTGTGATCTGAAAGGAGAAACTCTCAGGAAATTTCAGGAAATCTCAGGAAATAACTCTGAATATGCTTCACCATGCTTCACTTTCATGCTCCATAAAATGGGGGTAATAATCTTTATTGATCTGTCTACCTTTTAGCAATGCATTAAGAACTTAAATTGTATCTTTACAGTCTTTTGAACAGTCTTGATATATGCAGCTCTTAGAATACAGCTTAGTAGCTGGGCTTGCCATTTTATCAGGTTCTCCCACAGGAGAGCTGTCCTGCTTTACTTTCTGGTTCTCTGGTCTTCCCATGCTAAGGCCTTCTAACTGGGCAAGTGTGGTAAATTGATGACAATTTCTGCACCTACTGCTCGTTACCTGAGCTGCCGCAGCCAACAGTGCGCTCTTCTTGCTCCAGGAGCCAGTGCAGGCTGTCACCCGGTACTTCATGGTTGAGCCTACCTAGGAGGCACCTCACTGGGTGTGACTGCTGAAAGAGCAGTCACTCATTAGGATCCTTTCACTCAGTGGTTTCATATCTTAGCCTAATAGTGGGAGAGGATGTTGAGAGCCACCTGCCCCTCCGGCTATGCCTGAATTACTCGGATATCTTCAATGGTGTTTTTTTAAGAACAGATTTTTTGTGGTTGTTGTATGTGACCCCTGGTGATTTCAGTAGGCAGAGGTCTTCACATATCTCCTTTACTCTTCACCATGCATTTCACACCTGTATTAATTTTATATCCGCAGCAAGAGATTCAGTGGTGTTCTACTTTTGAACTCACATAAAGCAACTTAGTGGTCTGCCCAAAAAGGTCACTGATATTTTCACTAAATAGTTATTTTAGACATAATTTTACACTGTATTGATGGGTTACATTGATAGAATATAAATTAATTGTTGAAATCAATAGGAATGTTATATGTTTTGTTTTATATGTTTGGGAAATAAACATGCTTTTGAGTTTCATTCTGAATACTTCAGCCTGTGTTTATGAGGAAACTATTCTGTGTCTAGTGCTATGTATACATCTTGTTCTCTTTCTGTCCATTCAGCTCTCCACACCTACTTAATGGCTTGAATCAGCTAATTAATTTCTAAAAAATTTGTCAGAAACAAAGAGATCTAAAAAGACGAGTAAGCTCCCAAATGGAAAGAGAACCAGCAGAGAAACTGTGAAAAACTATAATATTTCTGTCTCCACTGAGTTAAAAAATGGGATCATACTAGTGGGAGTCAAAATGGACAATGCAGTGTGGTGAATGCTGAGGATAAAGAGGAAGAAGCAAGGTTTCTGGAAAGGGCAAGCTGGAAGTTTTATGATGAAGTAGATGTTTTCAGGGAGGCTATGATAAAGAGAGAAGAGAAGGTGAAGGAAATAGAGATGTGCTATGCTTTTTTCATTTTTATTTTTTCTGTTGCAACAATTCTATGACTCCAGCTTCATATGTTGCTGTTTGAAAAAAAAGAAAAAGTTTGGGTTTAGGCTCAAGTTTCATCAGAAGTTTATTTTAGATTCTCTAATACCTGTAAAAAGAATCTTGCAACAGCATAACTTTTTCCAGCCTAGCAGCTTATTGACTGACAATCTTTCTTACGACATCTGTTTGACATCTCATCCTAATATTAGTTTTACAGGCACATTCACATTTTAGGAAATCACTGTATTCTCAAGTCTGAGATGTCACAAGTGTCTCTTTCTGCAACTACTTGCCCCAGAAATGTTAGCTAATATATTTTATCTAACATCAGCCCTCCTGTTGTGTTGTACTTCATAGCTGTCATCCAAAACCAACTGCATTTTTATGAACGTGTCTTAATAAGGCACGCCATGAGAGGTACCAGTATCCTTTTGTATCTTCCTGAGATCACATGGGAGTAATAGGTGGTCATCCAGAGTACCTGGTATTAGAAAATCAAGTAAAATTATATAAGCCCCTTTAGTAACATTATATGGAGATGTAGAAATTAAGACAAAAAGACTGATGCTTTTATCTGCCTCAGTCAGTGTTAAAATGAATAGAGGAAACAAACCATGATCCAGGGCCCAGATTGTGGGCCAGCATTTGTCTCAGACACTCAGAAACCACAGCAGGTTTGCTCCAGGTGACAGTGGACAGTGGTAAAATGTACAGGTGATATGTGATGAAACAAATGATTGGAAAGTCCTTATCACCCCAGTGAAGGAATGACTGTTTCCCATCCTCAGCCTGTCTTAGCAGTCTCACTGTGCTTTTATCACCTAAGCTTGATTCAACATGCAGAATATAAGGTGTGGCAAGTATATGTGGCATGCGTGCATTCTCCCTGTGTTGTTTCTTCCAGATTATTGGAACAATCCCACTGATGCCTAATCCAGTCCCGTCCAGCCAGGCGGCAGGTGGAGCTCAGGGACTTCAGGTGCAGCCGATAACTCCACAGTTATTGACCAATGCCCAGGGTCAGATCATCGCCACTGTCATCGGCAACCAGATACTCCCAGTGATCAATACCCAGGGAATAACACTATCGCCGCTCAAACCAGGCCAGCAGGTAAATTGTCTGTAGCCTGAATGATTATCAAAATAGACACACAGAAATTTTCTGCTCCTCATAGACACTCTCATGGCCTCTCTAAAAACCCCCACTTCTTTACTATTTTTAATAACAAAAATTAATTCTGTCCTGCAGAGTGTATTACTGCATACTATATATGTAGTAATTAATAATGTCATATTATATAATTTATTTACACATTCAAGAGCTATCCATTTATTCTTTTTAATTTCTTTTCAAGGTTAGTATAGGATCAATTGAGATGTTTTCTGCAATTAAAATGCAATAGGAATATGAACCAGAAGAGATCCATCTGGCCCATCTGGCCTATAAAGTTCAGTTCCTTAGTTTGTGGTCATCTAGTAGACTGGGGCTTGAAATTATTTGGAACATGCAGGGAAAACAAGGGAAAATATAAAATCTTATTAGATTTCCTCACTGGAAAATCAGATATGATTACATATAATAGCACAGGCAGAAAATATTCTGTAGAAATTATTACTCAATGTAAGGTTGCAGGTAGTTGACAGACTTAAGGATGGATCCAGTGACCACACTGAGGTCCAAAAACCCTTCAGTAGCTCTTCGTATAGCACTTTAGAGTCAAATCCATTAGTTTTGCCAACATCTGTAAAGCAAGGAATTGTAGTCCTACCTTTTATCTCTGAAAGAAGGGAAATTGAGGACAGAAAACACATCAAATGGGATTACCAAATAAGTACTTACAAAAATGTCCCTCGCTTAAATATTCAGCTTAGCATTCCTACTGCTGGTAGTACTTGTTTGCTATTCCTGCTGACACCTCCAGTCACAGGGAACAGCTTCTTGTATGCTGCTGAGTATCCCAGGCCACCTGAATTCCAAACTGATGATTTTATCTTTTTTTTTTTTCAATTTTAGAAGTATAGAACCAATGAATCTCTAACATCACTTTTTCATTTGTTCTGAAAACATTTCACATCCCATTGGTTACCTGCTTTTTCCCCATCCTATCCTCTGTAGTATGTAGGATGGACATTTTTCAAAGCACTTATCATTTATCTAACTCTATTTTCTTTAAATGGGAGTGTACTTGCACTACTGGCAAATGCTGTTGCAATGGTTGCATATACATGGTTTAAAACAAAGCTGAATGGATCTGAGGGCAGGCTCCATGTTCTCCACCACAGGAGAGCCTGACAATGAAATATGAAACTCAGCAGTTCACATTTGGTTCCTGGGGCTGTGTGGATGTTTGGGGTTTTTTGAAGTCCCCTGAAGGGATTAGATCTTTTCCTCCATTATGGGGGAAGCATTCAAAAATCATAGCAGCCCTGAGATCCTATTTGAAACTCATGAAACTTAGAAGTAAATAGGAGGATAAAGGACCTGTATTATTGCCTGAGACATTCTCACATGAAGAGCAACTCACCTTCTGAGTTCTGCAGCAAAGCAACTCCTTCCAGGCAATGTCTGCCCGTAGTGTCAGTGGGCAGAGAGGGTACAGAGGTGTAGCATTTTCTACACAGCTCATGGCGCTGGGCTCACATAAAGAGACAAACTCTGAAAGCTGAAGCTTGCTGAATGAGCAGGACTGCAAAGTAGAGAGCACTCTTCAGCCACATCATGCTGTACTGTACTTGTTCACCCAACCTGTGTGCTCGTGTGCAGGGATCAGCTGGCAAAAATATCAGTCTGCAGAGAACAGATTATGTCCAAGAGCCAAAGATGCTCCCCATTAAGCTGTCTGCCCAGCAGTGCTATGGAGGTAAAAAACATTATTTTGCCAATATTATTTTCACAGGATTCAACCTCTGCCTCTTTCTTACATGGCGTCTGAGGTCCCAGGGGTTGCAAGAAGAGCCACCAAACAACACTGTCTCCTTACCTTGAATCAGCCATTCTTGAAGTTTAATCATTACAGTATTTTTGATCAGGAAGGGAAAAAAATGTAGTGCAAATACTATATGAAGAAATAGTAGTTCCTTTTTATAGGAACCACAGAAAATTATTTCTATGTGTTTGTGCTCCCTCTACTGGCTCTTCTGGTTTTACTGAAAGAAGTCAAAGAAAATTTTGTAATGAATTTCACTGGGAGCACAAAAGATGCATGAGAGCTAGATTCCTCATAGGAATAATGCTGATGGACGGTGAAAAACAATTGAGATAGTACTATACAAACTGTTGTGTCATTTGGAAAGTGAATAGATTTCCTCTAAGTTTAAGGAGATCCTGGGTTTATTTTTTTGCCTGAGTAGAGACTTAGACTAACTGTAACATTTGGCTAATGATAGCATATTAAGTCATAAGGTTTAAAATACCATTTTCAAAAGAACGGAGTGAGTGTTTCAAATCAGAGAGCTCAGCAGGAATTCAAAATGTTTATGAAAATGGTGTCACACAGTATTTGGTGTCTTCTAACTTGAAAGAAGATTCAGCAGGGGGAAAGATTACAACACAAGTTTGGGGAAAGTTTTTAGCATGTCTTGAAGAAATAAATAGAGGAAATAAATAATGTAGTAAAAATGTTCCAGTTACAGATAATCCTAGTTTAGCTTTCAACTTGTCACTTCCTTGGAAACTTAAGTACTGAAGGAGAAAAAGAGCAATGATACTGAGCTGCTGCTTGTTAGCTGAGTCACAATAATTGAACCTTTGTAAACTGTTCCAGTTCCTAAGTAATGCATGATAGTGCTTACTTTTTCCCTGATGACTGAAGACTTAAATGCCTCAGATGTTGTTAGTCAGCTTTACTTAGGTAGACTATATGTGTTATTTATTCATACAACTTTTTCAGATTTGACAGACTAAAACTTCAATGTCTCTTAATGGAAATGAGTTCATGGAATACTTACATGAAGTGTAAAGCAGTCTTTCTTTTTCTGCACTGTAAATAGGTTGCTTTTCAATGTACACAAGCAAGTCTGATGTAGTCTTGTTCTTCCTGTATTTAAGTATAAATAGATAATTTTGATTTATGTTCTTTAAACTACCCACACTAGGCATTGTTCTTCTTCAAATTACACCAAGTAGGTAAAACTTCAGATATTTTACTATTTTCCAACCTTTTGCTAATCTAAGGAGCATCAAGAATTCTCCTAGAAATTGCACTGGCTTTCTAAAGCAGGCAGTTGTTTGCACTCCTGTTTTATTCAGTACCCTTTTTATCTCTGTTCATAAAGAAAGAAGGTTTTGCCTTTAATAATTTTTGCTTAGCCATTTCCACACTCTTCAAGTGTGGAAGTTTTCTTTCAAGTTTCAGATCTTTTGATCAGAACTGAATGCCATGGTCACAGGAAGGATGCATCCCTGTTTTACATAACATGATATTATTTTCAGCATTATTTTCTTTCATTATCTCGACAGCCTAACATCCTGCTTTTTTCTATCTCTGTTCATGGAACAGTTTTACTTAATAAGCGGATGTGTCCACCATTATATATCTTTGCTTCCCTGATTATTAGCATGTGTATCACTAAAATGGTTCCTTTTAATGTGAATCACTTTGCACTGATCCACTACCTGTCAAAGTGCTCCCCTGGCATGCTGTAAACAGGATTTGTATGTTTTTCATGGTATTCTGTACTAATTGAAGAAATTAATGTGTTCTTCCTGCAGATTCCACTTTAACATTATTCACCATATTTCCTTGCTGGTTGCTAAAATATTTCAAAAATTTGATATAAATCCATTGTTTGTTACTTGTACTCTCCTTTCTTGAAAAAGAAATAATAGAATTATTCTCTAATTTTATGTTTCTTGCTTTATAAGGTCTTTGTGTTCCATAATAAAAGACTACCTTGTAACTTTAACTTCTGCTCTTCCTCCATGCCTCTCAAGAGGAATTTTGTCAAAATAGAGGTTGCATGGCTAAGGGCATATTGTTTTTGAGAACATATTAATTTGTTGCAAAAATTTGTTTGCACTGTCATCTGTTATCAGATTTGAAAATTTTGTTTCAAGGTGTTCTTTCATATCACTAACAACACAACCTTAACAACAGCACAGCTGAACTTAAACTGTGAACTGCAATCTTACAAAATTTAGCAAAGTGTGCACCTTGCTTAACTTATTCATAGAGGAGTTAGGTGTCTGGTGTAAGCTAGCTAACTGGATTTCCTGTATCAACATAGACAAGGAGACATATGCATGTCCAGTGGAAAACTCAAGACACCAAAATAGAAAAATTTTGTATAGGTTGAATCTCTAATAAGTATCTTAACATTTCCATTGTTTCCATTGTCATGAGATAGGGATAGGGTAGCTATTTGAGGATTTTCAATTAATTCTAAGGTGATCAAAATTGACTGAGAAGAATCCAGTGCCAATGATCACCGGAGTTCAAACACATTCTTGTTTATGAATTTCCTAAACAGATTTCCTAATAATTGGTGTTTTCTTAACTATTTTATTTCCCATACAGAAGCAATTCTAGACATTCTATTGTTCTTTGGTATACTACATAAAGTAGGTTCCCATCTCACTTTTGCCTGGCTCTTTCTTTCTGCATAGATTCATTAAATCAGGACTGTAGTCCCAATTGTCCTCAGTCTTGTTTTATCTACAATGCCTGACAGAATTTTTCATACTTCATTGTGTCTTAGAGCATGGCCAGTTTTGGGCTTCTGCCAATGCTAACGCTGTAAAATGATCTAGTAGGCAGCATTTTCCTACATTTTCAGTTCCCCATCTTTGTTGTCATTGGCTATCATGCTCCAGATTAACTGTTGAAAAGACAGAGATGCCTCTCAGATGGGTCTATGGTGATTCTTGTACATCGGCTTGCCAAATTTCACGTTAGATGTTCCCTTTCTGCTGTCTCAACCTGCCACAAAAACCCTACCATCTTGTTATCACAACTGTATGCAATCCCTTGTTATTCTCTCCTATTTAAATATAACCAGCTCTCAATCATTTCCTCTCTGCAATGCTCCTATAGCTTTGATGCTGTCTTGTTTTATGAGAAATGCACTCTTCCTTCTCTGTTTCAATATAGTCACTAAACTGTGTTGTCTCAA